GACACGAGAGATTATGCACCACCACCAAGAGATTATACATACCGTGACTATGGTCATTCCAGTTCACGTGATGACTATCCTTCCAGAGGGTATAGTGATAGAGATGGCTGTGGTCGTGATCGTGACTATTCAGACCATCCTAGTGGAGGCTCCTATAGAGACTCCTATGAGAGCTATGGTAATTCACGTAGTGCTCCACCCACATGAGGGCCCCCTCCATCTTATGGTGGAAGCAGTCACTATGATGATTACAGCAGCTCACGTGATGGATATGGTGGAAGTTGAGACAGTTACTCAAGCAGCCGAAGTGATCTCTACTCAAGTGGTCATGACCGGGTTGGCAGACAAGAAAGAGGGCTTCCTCCTTCTATGGAAAGGGGGTACCCTCCTCCATGTGATTCCTACAGCAGTTCAAGCCGCGGAACACCAAGAGGTGGTGGCCGTGGAGGAAGTCGATCTTATAGAGGGGGAGGCAGAAGCAGATACTAAAATTAACAAACAAAACTTTGGACCAAAATCCCTGTTCAAAGAAATAAAACAAAAAGTGGAACCTATTCTGTCATAACTACCCCCAAGGACTATTAAAAAGAAAAAATTGTTGTTACTTTAAAAGTTTCCTGTTAAGTTCTCCTCCATTAATTTTTCTGTTCTTGTGAGGAAAAAAGTAAAACATGTTTAATTTTATTTGATTTTATGACATTGCTTTCAACAAGCAAATGTTAAGTGTGTAAGACTTGACTTGTGTACTAGTGTTGTAATTCTCTAAGTGTCCCTGAAGGCCACTTCCTAACTGATACTTCCCAGTAAATGAGGCAAGCAATACTAAGATCTTCCACAAACATCTAGCTATCTAACATGGAGAGAGATGACTCATTCTGCCTTTATAAACAAGCTAGATATTAGAAGGGGGGTTGGGTTTGCTACTCTTAGAATTTCAGGGTGTCTTCAAACTGAAAGCTCAATGTTCTCAGTGTGAAAAACCTGAGATCAGATGCTTACATAAGGAAAGTGCTATTCACCCACTTAAATCCAAAACAGCAAATGGATAATGCTGGCCATATTTTGCCTTTCTCACATTTCCTTGGGAATCTGCAAGAGCCTCCCCTTTCCCCCCTCCCCAATAAGACCATTTAAGTGTGTGTTAAACAACTACAGAATACTAAATAAAAAGTTGGGCCAAAACCAACCATGAAGCTGCAAACGATGCTTGCTCTTACTGTTTCAAATTTTTGCAACTCTGTAGTGTTTCACTTTTAAAGGAACAGCTTGATTGCAAAGGAGAAAATAGATAAGCAATGAAGTTATCTCCAACTTCTCAAAGGCTTATGACTTCTAAAATGAATCTATCAGCATTCCACATCAGATTTAAAGCACCAAATGCCTGTGAAACAGCAAAGATGGTAAGCAAAGCAAACTAGTTTTTCCGTCTAAGTCGAAATTGAACAGTTACCTTCCTCATAGTACAGTGAAACATACTGTACCTCATGGCAATGGAAATGCTTTCTAGATTAAAAAACTTTTGGAAAAGCAGATGTTCAATAGCATATTAGAAGTTCTCCAAATTCAACACAAGGATTTTTTTTAAAGCATGTTAATGGCACTTAAAGGCCTTAATACAGCTGTTTACCAATAGCAATCTGGGGTTTGGGAGGGGGTGTTTTTTTAAGACTTTTTGATGGAAGACCTTTAAACATGCTACATAACATTTGAACATTTTTCAAATTTAGTCTTTCAGTCAATATAGGAAATGGCTTAACTTGGGGGCCCCCCTCTGTAACCCTATAAGCCATTGCAAACTTGACATTTAGTTGGATGCCTGACTTGTTTTTAGTTCTATGAAACTACACTCTATGGAGAAAATCTGTTGCAAGTGGTCTTTAAAAAAGCAAAACCTGAGGCAACATGACCCAGGTCCAGCCATGAAGTTGAAAAGATGCTCTTGAATATAGTAAACTGGAAGACCTCCAACTAAAATCCTTACACTGCATTTATTCCTTCAATAAGTTTTGTCCGTTCAACTTATGGATTTAACATGGCAGTGCACCATTGGAACAGAGTGACAATCCATAAGCCATGCAACTTAACCATTTAAGCCATTCCAGTCCATCCCAAGCCAGTGACTCTTCCACCACTTAAGAGAAGTAGTAGAACATGAAATACATTAAACTGCAAGTCTGAACTTGCCTTTTCTTCTGGAAAAGGAGGGCAGTTATAGGCAAGTTTCAAAGAATTTCCTGAGGAGATAACTAGTTACCGTCTATTTTTACAGGTTGAGGATTTGTGGACATTATGTTCATTGGAGTGCTGATTTATTCACAATAGATAAAGCTGGCAGCAAGCGAAATCAAATGATAAGGTAAGTTGACAGCTGTACCCCTTAGGAATTTCATTAATACAGCTTTGATAAGATAAGACACAAGATGAGTTATTTGTAATCCTCACTTGATCTGTAAAAGATCATACATAACTCAGTGGATTATGGGGGTAAAACTAGGAGTAAGTGATGTAATGAGTAACACTTGACCATGTTAATCTAGTATCCACCATTGAGTGTTTAACCTAGGGTGAAATTTTTAAACCCAAGTACATTCCATTAGTGGTTTTTAAAGTACAGGGCTACCCAGTACCCCTTAGTGCATAACAGCTCACAGGGGCTATACACTTAAGAATGTGTGGTATGTGAGCAAGCTTGCTCTCATTGTGCAAGAGGACGTTTTCATTCCAATTTACTGCTCTTACACGCTGTTACCAGGTCCCCAGTGTGAGTAATGTACTTTTGTTGGTGCAATGACAAATAGTACATAATTTCAATATTACCAATTTGTTGCTTATAGGAATTGTAATGGGTATTTATGGTTACTTCCTAGAGTTTGTACTTGAAAACATTTCCAAATCAAGCAGTTGACTATGTTAAGGGGAAGTAATACCCACCTTTCAACAGTAAATACCGTGATCTGACCCCATGCTTTTCATTTTACAGAGTTGTTGAAGCAGAAGAAAGCTGTCACTAAGTCCTGTCAGTTGTGTTAGCAGCACTCAGCAGTGTTGGTTTGGCACAGGCCACAGACGTTGCCTTCAGGGTTTCCTTTGGATCTGAGGAAGGCATTGGTGTCCATTTTGGTTAGCACCATGGCTTCAGACTGGTTCATTCCAGTTTGACCTCTGCTGAGATTTGCCTTTTTGCCTAATACAGTAAATCCCGCAGCATTTCAACCAGATCCCAGGTGATTCTTCCAAGAATCACTTGGATCTGTAAGAATCACCTGGAGCTATGGTTGAAATGTGGATTGTTTCAGTGTATCTGGGATGGAAAGGCAAATTCTGACCAGTGGCCCAAACTACAGTGAATTGGTTTGAAGTCTTGGTTAGCACCCTTAACTAATTAGGGAGGGATAATTAGTAATTGAAGAAATGGGGAAAGGGAAACAAGGAAATTAGTAAGTGGAGGGAGGTAGTCAGAAAGATTTTACAGTTCTGGCTTTTATTACAGTCACAGGGATAATCCTTAATGTAGAATTTAGTCGCTGAAAATACCACAGCATTGAATTAGAAGAATGAAAGGCATAAGTGGTAACTATCTAATGAACTGTCAGCAGGTGAAACATTTTATGATAAGCAGGGTCTAGTTGAGGACAAAAGGGTAGGGGAAGAGTAACAACTGGAAACTAACAAATAGAAATTGTTAAAAATACCCAAAGCACACTTAAAACTGGTAACTGTTTGCCTTCACTTGGCATTGTCCTTACATAACCCTACTTACCCCTAGCTTGCTATCTCTGAAAGAAATAGATACTTTGGAGTACTGTTTAGGAGACTAGAGCCAGTAGTATAAAGGTTAATGTTCTCAAAGGATTTGAGACACCAACTCGGCCTGTCCAAATTTTTGCCTAGGAGTTACACAGATCATATCAAGTTTTAACATTGTCATTGAAGGAAAATGATATGTAATTCATGTTTGGGTTTTTATAATTAATGAGGATATTGATTGAATTAAAATGCCCTCCATCCTTCCATAAAAATACCACTTGGGTCAGTGTGTCTGAGGATGTTTTGGCTCTTTGTAGCTTTTGTAGATCTTGAAGATACTGTAGAACCTAGAGATTGACCATAGTATGCACCATGAATGCTACATTCATACCAAGTATGCTTAAGTGACCAAACACCTGCTTAACATAGTTTACTGATCTAGCAGACTTCACTTTTCTCCCTTAGGAAAACGTGGGTCTTAAGTCTTCCAACTTTATACTGGTTGTAAAAGAAATGGAATGTTTGACCTTGTTTAACTGGTAGTCAAACATAGCTAGAACTTAGATATTATAAATCATTTCTCTTTTTGGAATGTTTTGTATTTGAACCTTAATAAAGCTTAATATGCATTTTTGTGGAAATGGCTTTTTATTTTTTTTCCCTAAAAAAAAAAAAAAAAAAAAGTAAATTTGCCAGGCTTTTCACTTGACTTTACCCCTCTACCCCATCATCCCCCCCCCAAAAGAAAACCAGAAATAATCCCCTGAAAAAGCACCAGCCTTAACACAGGGAAGTACACACTAAAATACCGAGGATCTAGTAGTGAAGCTACATACAGGTCAGTATCTGCTCATTGGGGCAGCTAATCCCAAACATGTCTCTACTTGAAATACTGTGGCTCTGCTATTCTTGGCTGACTCGCAATCATCTATACCTGTTTTGACATTTCACTTGCACCTCAAATATAGGTGACTGCATTTCAGTTACAATTGAGGTGGAGAACACAAGGGAACTAGCTGAGCAGTTGGGCGGCATTCTGATATGTGCCCATCACTACACCATTGTTCCAGAAAGTACATCCTGTCTTAAATTCTGAGTTACAGGATTTATAAACTTAAAAAAAACTTCCTGAGCAACATGTCAAGTACACTAGTAAAGTAAAATTTAACTAGGAGATGTACAAATAACAGCCCATGAAGCTTGATAAGTGCCTGCCCTCAGAACATTGCTGTCAACCCCAGAAAATTTCTACTTGCCCTTCTGCGATATTTCCTGCCCTCCTTCCACAGGGACCAGCACTGGTTTAATACTTTCATAGTAAATATGAAGTTGAGTTCTGTAATATAGAAATGTACAGTATCTACCAGACTTGCTATGGACTTGATTCTGACTTGGCAACCCCCCACTGGGTTTCCTAGGTGGGTAAATCTTTACTGAAGTGGCTTGCCCTGTCTTCTGCAGAGCGGCTAGTCGGTTTGAACCACCAACCTTGTTAGCAGATGCCTTAGGCACTACGCTACCAGAGCTCCTTTAGCCATGCATTGTTACATGCCGACGTCAAGTCAGACACGACTCATAGTAACCCCTCCGAAGTAGATTGCCTGGATCTTCTTCCGAGGAGTGGCTGGTGGGTTTAAACCACCAGCCTTCTGGTTAGCAATCAATTGCCTTACGCACTATGCTACCAGATTTCACAGCCACGCATTAGTACCTTTTTAATACCAATTACTTAGTGCGGTGCA